GGGCCCCTTCAGCTTCCCGAGGATCCCAGTGCCTGCTCCTGGGCCTGCAACACCCTCCAAGGCCCAGCTTGACCTGGTGGTGGTGGATTCAATTCCTCCCCATCTGGGCTCTTGTATACCTGGGGCCACCTCCACTGTATCATGTAGAATTCTGTTTTTCTGCATTGGAAACTTCTCGCGGCCAGGGGCTGGGTCTATTCACCCCTGTCTGTATCTGTCAGACCTGAGGACCAGGAGGCACTCGGTGAAATGTCTGCTGAACAAATTAATTAGTTTCCATTTAACAAGCTCATCAGGGACCTGTCTTCCCACCATTAGGAAGCAGGAAGGTTCCTTCTTTCTTGGAAGGATCTACCTTCAGGGGACACGACGGCAGAAGCTCAGCCTTTGCAAGCAGAAGGCCATCTGCCGAGATTCCTGGGGCACCGGTTGGGTTTTAAAGAAATGAGGCACGAGTGAACCAGGAGGGACACTTAAACAAGACATTTGTATATTAAAAACTTCACATTAAATATACATCATTATACAGTGTATCACATAGAATTGGAACTTTACAGGACATATTTTCAGCCATGAATGGTTAGAAGGAGGCAGTGATACCAACGGCCCCCAGGAGGATGATGAGAGGCCAGGGCCACCTGTGCCCCAAGGGTGCCTTCAAGATTTGGTCTTTGCGGGTCACTGTTCCAGAAGTGTGAAGAGATGGAGTGGTTTGTTGGACAGTCACCTGATTCAGGCAAGGCCCTTCGGGAGGAGTGTCCACGGGCCAACCCCAAAAGCCAGTTTGCTCCGTGAGCAGGCTTTCTGCATGTACTTCCCCATGGCCTGTGGGAGCACAGGATCGGCCTGGCCACCTGTCGTTGCCAAACCCTTGCCAAGTGACATCAGCGACTTCTGAGTGTCTCTGAGAGCTGCTGGGCTTGGTGTTCACAGTCTTGATCCTGTAACGGCGGGAGCAGAGCCCCCCTCCCCCCCCAGGGCGTCACCTGTTGACACGAGGTCCTTGGGGGAAGCTCCAGGGGAATGGCTCCTGCCACCAGCCCGGAGTGGCCCTGCAGGGAGAGGCCCAGCCTGCCTGAAGACTCAGCCTTTCACCACCTGCCTGTGCAGGGCTGCTCTGGGAGTCTCTCCAGGGGACCCCCCACTGAAAGGCTCAGGGCTGACAGGCAGGTGGGCCTCTCCCGACAAAGCCTCCTTTCTTTCTGTGGATGCCATCTTGTTCTGCTGGGCTGCCAAAAGGGTCCTTGACTCCTCAGCGCTCAAGGACAGAGCCGCTGAAGTGCCTAGGGCATTGTGGTCAACAATGAAGTCAGCAAAGGAGGCAAAGAAAGAAAACAACCGCCCGTTGGTGGCTGGAGGTTGCGTTCTGAGACAAGATGCTGAGGGGGAGATATGGTGTGGCCGGGAGCTTTTCTTTTTTACTCAAAGAAATCCAGCCCATTTTTTTTTTCCCCTTTCCATTAATTGGCAGCAAATGAAAAAAAAAAAAAAAAGCCAAAACAAAAACCAAACCCACGCCAGTCACCTGAGTGTGAGTGTTTCTGAAAGGGAAAAGCTGTTTCAATTGTTAGATGTCCAAGAAAACATGAATACACGCTGACGGAGGAAACGGCCACAATTAGAGGAAGAAGAGGGAGAGGTTCATAAAATTAAGGAAAAAAAAAAATCCTTTTAGCAGCTCCTGTCCTGTGTGCTGGCTCCTCTGCTGGCCCTGGTCCCTAAGGGGAGCAGGAGATTGGGCCTCTGGGGAAATTTCTGGAAGAGGAAGGCAGGGGGCTTAGAAGGGAGGGTCCTGGGAATTCCTTAAAGAAGCAAAGGCAAGAGAGAGGGAGAGGCAGCTTCCCCTCGCCCACAGGCACAGCCTTTCTGAGAAGTTCTCTGGCAGATGGGCTCTGGGAGGGCTGTGGACAATGAAAGCCTTTCCCTCCTGCTGGCCCATGGGGTTGCCTCCCCACATCCTCGGCCTCCACCAGGTGTTCTGGGAGCCAGACTCCAGTGGCACCTGTTTGGACAAGTGCCAGTTCCTGGCTCATTTTCCTCATTCGCCCCCACCAGAGGCCTTGGTCACTCCTGCTCCCCCAGTGCCCTGAAGGACATTTTGGAAAATGCAAAACAGGCAAGGGTCAGAGTTGGTTTCCCTGGAGACTAAACCCAGGTTGCAGCCAACTCAGTCGTCTTGAGGGGCTACAGCCCTTGGGCCGACATACAGGGACCAGAGAATGACCCCAGAGGCGGATTGGGTGTTAGGGAAGGGAGGCCCAGGAAATGGCTTTGGCCAGAAATTGCTGAAATCCAGGGCAGCCGCCCAAATGTAGCTTTTAGTCTTGATCTGCCCCAGCCTGACAGGCGGCCTTGGCAAGTCCTGCTCCTCTGGGTCTCTGCCTCCACATCTGAGAAGCAGCCTAAACCATCTCTAAAGCCCTGGGCTTGAGCCATCTCGGAAGGACTAAGTCTAGACCCGCTGGTGATGTCTAGGCTCAGCGCCTCCTACTCTTCCCCTGTGTGCTGGAGATCACCGTCACAGTGGGCCACCACTCTTCCAGTCCTTTCAGATCCGCAGGGTACGGGGAGCATCTGTACTTGCAGCAACCCTGGCTGAATCTCTTGCACCTCATTCAGCAGGTGGAAGCCACACCTGTCACCCTACTGAGTGGTGGAGAAGGCAGAGACAGGATGCCATCTGTGCCTGTGCAGGTGGTTTTATTTGTGTGGACGCAGTGTGGATACCAGCATCCATGTCCCCACCCCCACCTCCAGAGCAGGGTGACAGTGAGGTCATGCAGAACCAATGATTGACAGAGCAGTGGCCCTGGAGTCTGCTCCACTGCTTATAAACCATGTGACCTTGAACAAGTGACTTTCCCTCTCTGAGCCTCCCTTTTCTCCACAGGGTGACACTGATTGGATAATGGGAAGAGTCCTTTTTACACTGCTGGGTGCTGGGCACCTGAGGACGCAGCTAGAAATGGTCATCACTGGCAGGTGGGGGCCTAGTTGCTTGGTCAGCCTGATTATATTGCTGAAGCCTCAACACAGGGCCCAGCTACACTTTCCTGCAGGTGACTGTCCTTTGGCCACACTGCCTCCCCTGTGTGCCTCTGCCCGGTCAGCTGCCTGCCTGGAGTCTCTGCCCTTGCCCCACCCAGGGCCTGTCACACCAACCAGTAAGCTCGGGAGACACAGCTTGCTCAGGGCAGGAAACCCACAGACAAGCACTGCCTTTGGGAGCCCACGGTGGTATATAAAAAAGGGATAAGAATATATATTAAATGACTATTTTATTTACACACCCTATTCATAAATAATTGCATCTTCTTTTTGACGGCACAATGATTCCTTAGAGATCTAATGATTACACTGTGACTAAAGGTAGATGGGGCTTACTGTGTGTGTGTGTGTGTGTGTGTGTGTGGTCATGATCTCTCACATATGTGCTTCTGTGCACACTCAGAGATACGCACACGCCAGAGGGAGTGGCCCCCCAGGCCACCTGGGCTCCGGGAGCCAACAGTCAGCTCCCAGCACCAGTGGGAAAACTTTGCCCACACACAGGTGTGAGTTCCCGACAGCTGGAGAACAAAGAGATGCAGCCCAGGAGCACCCAGCCTGCGCCCCGCCCCCCAGAGCTGCTGTGCCTTTGTTCACCCTGCAAGGCATCTCTTTGGATTGCAAATATTTTAATTCACAGAACTCAAGGAGGGGTGGGCGTGGGGACTAGGGTAGTGTGGCGGCCACCCCTCTCCCTTCATCCAGGCCTTCTCCAGCCCCTGACCCCCCTAAGTGGCAACAGCATCCTAAGACATGCAGTGGTGTGCTAGTACCATACACGACAAAGTGAACAGGCTGGCAACATGGCCGGCTGGTCGGGGCTGGTGCCCTGCTGGCTCCTCCAAATCTCGGGCTCTGTCACAGAGCAGGGAGGGGCTGGTCCGCTCACAGGGTCCTTACAGCCACGGGGTAGAGGAGGGACAAGTGCTCAGCACCTTTGATGGGCAGCTTTCTGGTGGTGTAGTAGTGGATGACTTCTGGGACACTGTCGAAGGGTGGACTGTTCTGACCCAGAATGTATTTCTCTTTGGTTTTGGCCAGTTTCATGTGCATGAAGCCCTGGTTGCTCCTGTGAACAAAACACAGAGGTTAGTCAGATCTGCAGGTTGCTGGGGCTGAGCAAGGGCGGGGGCTGAGAGCAAGGGCACCCCTCATTTATTCTAATTTCCCAAGAACTATCCCCTGGCGCTGGGGCTGGGATCAGATACCTGCTAAGGTACAAGTACTCCCCAGCTGCCTGGGACAGAGGAATTCCAGCCACAGAGCAGCTGTGAGCTGTCACTTTCCAAGCCAGGAATAAAGCCAGGGACTGGCTGAAATGCCGCTGAACCCAAGAGCACCCCCAGTTCCAGTGTCCAACCAGGAACCAGTAGCAACCAGAGGCTGGAGGGTCTTTCCACCCTGAGAACTTCTGGGAGTAAAAAGGAGCCCTTCTGGCTGCTACTGATATAACACCAGCTGGAGCCTTGCCTGGCAGGTGAAAAGTATGCTTGTGTCCCCAGTGTCATGACAAGTAGGCAGGACAGGGGTCCATACCTGGTTGTCACATGAAGAAAAGACAGCCAGCTGTCTTCCTCTCTTAGTAGCAAGGAACTGTCACTGAGAAAGGGTCACCTACCCAGGGACTACATTTCCCAGTGTCCCTTGGGTCTAGTTAGCCATGTGATTAGCTGTAGCCCTGGGCAGGCATTCCCCTGTCTCCTCAAGGGCCAGCCTGTTTCTGCAGCTCTGAGCAGTAAGGAGTCTCGCCTCAGGGCCACTGGCACTGCATGGCACCATCAGACCTCTCCCATCTCAGGCCCTGGCTCCCGCCACACTGGCTCACCCAGGTTTCCATCAGTCTGCCTTTACACAGGCCATCCTTTCCCTGCCCACTCAGCCAAGCCTGGCCTTTTATGACGGGATGATGTCTCTGCTGTCACACTTGCAGAGGCTGGAGTTTCCAAAGCAAGGCCCAGTTTACCAAGTATTTATCCCTTAGGTGGAAAGCTGGGGCTTCCCAGCTTCCTGCAACCACCTCCACTGGTTAACTTGTGAACAGCCAGAGGGCCTGGCTTCCAGGGCCCCACAGCCATACCCAGCAAGGCTGACAGCCCCGGTGGAAGCAGAAGACACATCTCCTTCACTCAGGACTGGGCCCAAGCGCCCCCTCATAACATCATTTTCAAATGGGCAGAACAAATGCTTAATGAAGTGTGGGCACTGAGCAATACGTCTGCTCATAATAATGCATTTAGAGATGTCACCCTCAGCTTAAAGGAAATCGTTTGGAGAGCAATTACGTTTTCAAGAGAGAATAATTCCTGCAAAGAACTAAAATTTAAATCAAGATTTTTTTAAGGCTGGCAATGTTCTAATTACAGAGCCTGTGGCAAGTTCCGCTCCTCCGTGAAGGGTCACTTCACCAGAGAATCGCCTCCATGTGTCTGAGGAGCAGGAGGCGCACTTGCTGAGCCCCTTAGAAAGGCAACAGTGAGCGTGTTAAATGGAAAATGCAAAGCCCCCCGTGAGCGAGGACTCTTCCACACAGCACCCTGGAGGGACTGCAAATCCATCCTCCGTGCCGGCTTGGGAGCACTTTGGTGGTGTGTTGCAACCATGGGGCAGAACAGGGAGCCTGGAGAGCTCCGCCTGGTGCTCAGCTGGGCTGGAGGTGGGACCCTGGGCGGGGAGGGGGGGAGTGTCCTTAGTATGTCATTCCATTAGGCAGGCGCAGAGTGGGGTCATGTTCTGGGGAGGCAAGCCATGGGGTTGGGACCCTCTCAGCTCTATGGCTGGGGGAACAGAGCAGAGGACAAGACAGAGGATCACAGTAGCTGGGGAGCCACGTTGGCACAGCTCTGTCCATGTGCATTTTTAGCTGGTTTTACTTCCTAAATGAGCGAACGTGACATTCCCCCTGGTTTGTCTTACACTGTCCAGTGGACGGTGACAGTAGTAGCAGTTCCGTTGGTGCCACAGGTGGGAGTTGATGCTCCTCTTGTCCAGGGCACCAGCTTGGAATAATCCCTCGGGTGGCAGAAATTACACACTGTCATCTCTCCTCCACTGCCGTTGGACAGCCGGCCCAGATGCTCCCTGAGTCCTTCCCACCTGCGGGACCTGTGTGTTCCTCTGACAACCCACGGCTATTTCACCCATTTAAGCACCCACCAGCTTGTCACTCTAAGCCAAGCTGGTCATGAAGCTCTGACACCCAGGCAGACCTGGGACCAGAGTTCAGGCCCTAAGAGTCCCTAGTCTCTGGCCTGATATCCCAGGCAGTGTGAAAGGTCCCCACACGGACTCTCCTGGGCTCAAGCACTGGACTTGTGCTTCTCTGGCCCCCAGGCTGCCTTGTGCCTTGCCGGGCTCAGTCCCTGCCCCAGCTGGATCCATGATTGGCTGTGAGGCCCACCTTCCAGCCCTGGGTTCCTGCGTAAACCTCATCAGCTGCCTCGTCCAGAGGGCTTCCTGTAGGAAGGCCTCTGAAGAGGGTCTCTGTCCCTCTGCTGCTGTTGGGCCTCAGTCCTGCTCTCCGGGGCATCACCCTGGATCACTGCCTTGGGGCAAGTGGCTCCTACATACTTCCTCTTAACCAGGCCTTGTGTCCCTGAGTACTACGGCATAGACAGGGAAGGTCCCTGGCCCATGCTTACACAGCAATCATAGCAGATACTCTTGACCTCAGCACCTCCAGAGCCAGAAGAGTGTCCTGCCTACCCTTGATGCTCGATGTGAGGCCAGGCAGGGTCAGGCAGAGGCGTCAGACCCTGACCAAGTGTCTCCCTGACTCTGAACCTCAGGATCCACAATGTCTATAGGCTGACAGCAGCTCAGAGGCAGTGAAAGGGCTGGGAATGAAAGACAGGACGTGTGGCCTGTACACAGGGGATGTCTCAGGATTGGAATGCGTGTCCTGGATGGTGAAGACCCCAGCCATTAATACCCCCAGGGGTTCTTGGGTTCCAGGAGGATCTGCTACGGTCACATGACACCTTGTCCACACACACTGAATAGCTGTTGTGTTCCCATAATTTATCTTGACTAGTCACAAGGTCTCTGTGAGTGAGAGGCCACCTAACAATAGGTGAAGATTGAAAAGAGGCTGTCAGTGATAGCTTTTTTTTTTTTTTTTTTTTGGTACTGGGGAGATTAAACCCATGGGCACTTAATCACTAAGCCATATCCCCAGCATTTTTTTTTTTTTGATATTTATGTAGAGACAGAGACTCACTGATTGCTTAGGGCCTTGCTAAGTTGCTGAGGCTAGCTTTGAACTTATGATCCTTCTGCCTCAGCCTCCTGAGCTGCTGGGATTACAGGCATGCACCATGGCTCCTTGGTACCTCAGTGATGGTTTTAGTAACTTCCAACCCAAAATTCTAACCTGAAGATTAGAATTTCCGTGGAGAAAAAAGGGGCATCTCAGGGATCGGGTGTACACAGCCATAATGGCTTTGAACAGAACATTTATGGGATTAGAAGCAGCCTGGGGGGTAAATATCTCTTACTCCCTTGGTACCTTAGAGGAAACAGGCCAGAGAGGAACACTACCCGGCCCAAGGCACCCAGCATGGGGGACAGCAGATGCAGCCAGACCCCAGGTCCTGGTTTCCAGGCCCAGGTGGGATGGGCTCTGGGATGCTTCTCTTTAAGGCAGTGGCTCCCGAGAAGCTCCAGAGCATGGGGCACCACTGTCATTCCGGGAGGCTCTGTCCCCACGGAGCTCTGACAGGCTCCTGCCTTGTTCCTGCTGCCTGCATCAGTCCCATCTCTTTGATAGGACATCTTGTGAGAGCAAAGTCACAATTAGGGGTGTCTCTGGTGGGTGACCTGTCTAATGAGTCTTGTAAGGTCACAGAGGTGGGGGTGCTGGGGCTGTCATGTGCTCCGATAGCTCATCATCATCACAAAAAGCATCTCCTTGTCACCAGGATGAGCAGACAGGGCCTGGTGAGCGGTGCTAATCACAGGCCCCGCCTCGCCTCCTAATCACGAGCTTTAATAAAACACCACTCAGCCCACAGCTGCCGCTGCCTCCAAGCAGGGTGCGAGGCCTCACCTCTTGCTTTTAGACCTAATTGCTTGATGCATATTTCATGAAGAATCCTGGGTAATAGTTATGTTAAGTTGCTTCTTTTCATGATGAAATGACTTAAAAACACTTGCATATAATATTTATGAGAGGGGCGGGGGCAGGGGTGGGGGAGGAAATTGCCCTTTGGGACTATGATGCAGGGCCTGGTTATAGGAATCTGTACCCAAGGGGTATCTGGTTCACCTTGGTCTGAAAGGTAGTTGGGAGCTGCTTTTTTTTGGGGGGGGGGGAATCAGATACCTCCATAATATTGTCCCTCAGCTCAAAACCATCCATGGCTCCCCATGGCCAATACAGATTCAAGGATACGCTGCACTTCTTGAGCCCCAGCTGGGCACCAGGCACTGAGCTGTGCTGTTGTCACCCACTGTTCCTTTAAGCAGCACAGCAGTGCTAAGTCAGCATGACTATTACATTTACAGATGGGGAAACTGTGGCTCATGAAGCTCATGGGCCTTGTCTCTTGGTGCAGGATGGGGCCAGGACTGAACCTAAGTCTGTTGGAATCCGAAGCCTCGGCCTCTTCTCCCCTGGCTCTGTTACCAACTGGGTGGACCCAGGTGTCCCAGGTGTCCCCTTGGACTGTTTGTGCCAAGTGGCTTCCCTGCAGCTCTGTGAGACCTCATGGTCAGGAATCTGCCTGTTCACTGCGATGCCTCCCAGAAGGCTGAGGTTTACTTCCCACGGAGACAGCAAATGTCAGGCCCACAGCCAGGGCACTCCTCTGCCCCGGCCGGCCATCCTCCATCGGTCAGTGATCTAGTCAAGGTCTGACCAGGGCCAGGGAAGGAGGCCCCATGCATCCTGCCCTACTATGAGGCCTGGAGGCTACTCCACCCCAACCCTGGAGGGTTCAGCCTGGCCGAGCCGGGGTCAAGCTGCCTACTGCCTGCGAGGCCAGAGGCCAGACACAGTGGTGACTTTTTCGGGTCAGTGCTGGTTCCAAGATGAGCCAGCAAGGACTGTAGAATGAGCTCAGTGAGAGGCAG